TGATGAGGATCCATATTTTGGTAGAGGAAAAGATGATTGTGATGGCACTGGTGATCCACATGTCAACCTTGTATGACCACTTTCCTTGCACCGACTACATATCGATCTCTTCTTCTCTTCACCCTTAGACGGTATACGATCGTGACTTTTTGGTCGGCCAGGTAGCCTTCTGTCCATGGCTGGTGGCAAAACTGTTTGTAAGTCATCTGGTATGTCCCACTCAGAAGGATGTGGAATAGGGTAGATAATCTCGGCATAAGTCTGTCGATATACTTCTGTAGTGTAGCAATCCATAGCGTATGCACTTGAATCATCTTGGTTTAGATGAAGAGCAACTTTTATAACATGCCCACACGGATAACCAGATATTTTCCATTTCATACAACTACATGTCTTTGCATTTAGATCGACAAGCCCATTTAAGTTATTATCCAGTACTTCAAACAAAGTGTTTGAACATGGTTCAACTCTCTATGACGTTGACTTCACAACACGTTTTGTTATCTTTTTTTCAGTCCATGGTGTAACACAATGTTCCAATGTTCCTGTAAATTTAAATAAATAATACTTAGTAAAATATCTGATAAGTTACGAATTTAAAGAAATAATACCTGCATGGTTTCTTTTCTTGTAGTACCACTGTTGAATAGAGGCTCGAAAAAACTCCATTAACATAGTAATGGGTAATTTTCGGGAATGACGACTTAGAGCGTTGATTGATTCTGCACTATTAGACGTCATGAAACCATATCTTGCTCCAAGTTGATGTACTCTTGACCATCTTTCAAACCTGACATCTTCTAGTGTTTGAGCACACTGAGGCAAAATACGTCTTAAACAATTTATATGCTTATTAAAATCCACTTCCCGATAAGCTTTTACAGTCTTCCAGTATGTCCATTTGTGATTTTTTATACCAGCAGACCTTGATTTTAGATTTCTATATAAATGAACACCACAAAGTCCATGAAAAGCATCTGGGAAACACCTTCTAACAGCGTTGTCAATTGAGTTTGCCCTATCAGATAAGATTATCAGATTGCTAATAGGACCTATACAATCCCTAAGATGCCCCATAAACCATGTCCATGAATCAGAGGTTTCAGATTTGCCAACCCCGTAAGCTATTGGCAGTATCCCATTGGTAGCATCCATGGCTACTGCTAATAAGTTTACTCCAAGGTATCGACCTTTTAAATGTGCTCCGTCAACTATAATAACTGGGCGCATGCAAGTAATAAACGAACAAATCTACAAAATCATATACACAAGAAATATAATCATTTAAATGTGAAATGCATGTAACTAACAAAAATGAGTCAACAAAATTATATTGATTTACTAATCGCAACACCAATGGCGATAAACAGTAACTCAAAGCGTCCATCTCTATCTGTTTTGATATGAGTTACCGACCTAGGTTTTTTCAGCTTTAAATTGTTACAATAAGCCGACAATTTGGCAAACGATGCTTCTGGCGACCCCCTCAACAATTCCAAGGCATAACATTTGGCTCTCCAAGCTTGAGAATATGAGATACTAATCTTGAATCGAGCATTCATGTCAGTCATAATTTCATGTCCCCGATATACCCTGCCATTCAAAAACATTAACTCAGCCAGAAAACCACCCAACACCTTTTTGTTTGCATGTCTATGGTGAGGAAAAACTTGGGTTCTTGAACATGTATGTTTATCAATAAAAGTCCTAACTTGAAACATTTCGCAATCTTTTATCCTCTTTGCAATCATACTCCACGTACAATTTTTGTCAATCATACACTTTGTTTCGAAACGATCTTTGCTTGATTTGTTAACTTTTAGTTGATAGCCATCTTCCACACATTTCGTATACAAAGCTATCTTCAAGTCTTCCTTTGTATCAAAACAATCATCTTTCTTGATACGAATAATTTTTGCATAACAATCAACTGCTATTTTTACCAACTCTTCTTCCGGTATCTGAAGTAATTCTGGCATATTCCAGTTATACTCCCGTGGTATTTTCTTCGGGGACTTTTCTTCAGGGATTTCTTCTTCTTCTTTTTCTTCTTCAGGGTTATATGAATTACATAATGGATGTTCAATATGTTCATTCACAATCGTAACTTCCTCCTCATTATCATCAACAACATCTTCCTCGGCAGCGGCTGTTTCATCATCAAAATTTGGGTATTGACCAATATCAAAATCATTACACGGAGGGTCTGTTTCTTCTTCTGAAACATCATCAAAATCCGAATATTGACCAAGATCAAAGTCCGGGTATTGACCAAGATCAAATTTCGAATACCGACTAGTACTCACAATTGTTTCTGTTGGCTCATCATCGTCTAACTGGTTAATACGAAAATCAGAATTTAGTGCTGAATGTTGATTGGGATTTGGATTAGGGAAAGGTTTTGGGTTTTGAGATTGTGTTTGGTATTGGAAATGTGGTGAAACAAAATTTGTTTGGTGATGAAATTGTGGTGGAACCATTAAATTTTGAGCACCATAAACTGGGGTTGAAAAACTTAGTTGATTACTACCCGCTACTGACCCAACTTCACTACTTCTAGGTTCAACAACATATAATGTAACATCATCTTGCGAAACACTAATGTAAGCAATGAATCGTTCAACATCTTCCTTGTCGGTTAACAAATAAACTTTACCTTTTCTCTGATAAGATAGCCTAAATCCACTTAAGGGCTCTAAATTCAATTTATTTGCAACACGTAACATTAGAGTTTCATAAGTTAACTTTTTTAATGACAGTTTTAGTTGAAGATTCATGGGTAAAGGCATATATTGTAAAACACCATGAACATTCTCCCATGACCCTCTAAAACACAAATCTATCTAAACATGATCAACATTAGATGATTTCATTATTGTAAATTAATTTACTAAACAAACGAGCAGCGAAACTAAAACCTGTTGCCGGATAGGGAAGGATGTCGTTGGATATAGGAACGGATGTCGCCGAAGAGAGTGATAGATGGAGATGGAATGAGTTGCGATTTAGGGATTTAGGTTATGAGTTGCTTCTGCTGCGTAGTTATATACCCAAATCATTTGTGTTGCGAAACTAAAACCTGTTGCGAATTTGAAATTCAGTGTTGCGACAGTCAGAATCGCGTTGCGATAGTCAGAATCGTGTTGCGATAGTCAGAATCGCATTGCGATAGTCATAATCGCATTGCGATTTACATATTCGCATTGCGATTTACATATTCGCATTGCGATAGTCGAAAAATCGCAACGCGAATTTGGAAAATCGCAATGCGATAGTCAGAATCGCGTTGCGAATCTGGAAACTGATTTGCGATACCGGAGATCGCGTTGCGAATTATCGATCGCATTGTGATTTAGTTGGTCATTTTGGCAAATCCAAAAAAAGTTGGTTAAAATCGTATATTATAAGGCATTTTTGGTCACTGAGGTTATTTTCTCTTATATTAATCTTAGAATGGGGCTTAAATGGTGGATGGGGGATTCAATCCTTGAACTTTAAGGAGTCACCGTATAGGCCTTTGCCACTAAGCGAAGTTATTTATTTGGTTTACAATTGTACAACTTTTTATATATTGTGTTTAAGGTTATTTGTCTCTCTCTCACACACACACATATATATAATAGTTAATAAAAAACTTAAAAATAAAAATAAGTTTAATATTTTTATTTATTTTTTAAAAATAATAATATATAAATTATATTAAAAAGTAAAAATATATTATTATTATTTGGAGAATCCAAATAATAAAATAAAAAATAAAAATAAAAATCTTAAAATTATTTTCATTTTTAAGTCTTAAATTAACTATATATATAAAATAAAATTTATTTATTAAATTTGTTTTAATATATATATATATATATAGAGTGCGCGCGTGTGTGAAATAACCTAACACACAATATAAAATCCAAATGAGTAGGACTAGTGGCAAAGGCTTGCCTAGGGACTCCTTAAAGTCCCTGGATCAAATCCCCCTAACCCAATTAATTCTTTTCTAAGATAAGTATGTTTTACCTTACACAGGTCGTGATTGGTGGGAAAAATTATTTATTTAACATATTAAAATTAATTAAATTCAGCTTCCAATCACTAAAATAATGACTAAATTGATAGTATGTGTGAATATCAAGGACCAAATATATAATTACGCCAATTTGATTAACTACTACATCATCACCATTGTTAAAAATTAATGACCAGTAGTTTGATTGAACCATTTAAATAATTAAATAGTCAAAATGAAACGTTTACCCTAATTGACGTGATTGATCGAATTGAAACGTTAATGGTCAAAATGAAAAGGGGCTATAATTTAATAATCACCTGTGTAATTTACCCTAATTGATAAGATTGATAAAAGAATAGTTATATTGTAAAAATAATTTATTTAAAATTTAAATATATTTTTGTATAAAAATATTTATTCTTTATGAGTTATTTATCAATCATGTTATAGTGATATGGTTAATAACATAGGGATTAAATTACTATTGTTGCGTTCAACAAAACTCCTACAAAGAAGCGGACCATTATTCACAATGCATGGCATTGATGTTATATCGATCAGTGATTTTCTCAGCAGCCTATATCCAAAGTGTTTTCTGATGCTTCAAGAATCACAGGGCTACGTCTAGCTTCACCTGAGCTGTCGTTGATTTTAGTCTCGCTTCTGAAATCAGACTCAGCTGTCGGCCTGAGTCGAATTTTGCAGTTTTCAAGTATGTTCCACCATGTGATTTATTGGAACTCCATCTTGAAGGTGTTCTTGCTTGTTTCGATAACGGCTGTAAGTTTTCGGTCGAAGAGGGAACTCCTAACATGAGAATTGAGGTTTTTAGTCTTTTCTTTTTTCTGGTTTTTGTTTGGTATCAGATAATGTTAAATGAGCGTTGCATTGAAGTGAATTGTAATTCTGTACGATGCAAAATGCATGACTATTTAATACAAGAATCACAGCAAACCGGTGCAGACCTGAGAGCAGCAACCATGAAGGCGAAGACTGATGGTACCAGCAGCAGCAGCAGGAACGGATTCAAGCCTTTAGACCCAGCAGGCAATTGGCCTTTTGACATGAAAACTTTGGTGTCTGCCCGCTCCATTGCTGTAAGCAAAGCAAATACCCAAAAAGAGAATTCTCTACTGTAATCCTACTAGAATCCCAATCCGAAGCCGAGCGAACTGCTCATCTGTTTTTGCAGCAAGCGCTTTCACATGGAGGAGGGGGCACACCAAAGACCCAATCGAGGACACTCAAGTATTTGGAGCGAAACACTTCCCTCTCCTGTTCATAGCAGTGCATTATGATTGCTGTCGACAAGCTAAATATGACCACATCAGCTCTCTTCAGATACATCGACTTCGGCAAATAGCCGGCATCAGCCATGCATGTGAAGAAGCTCTCTATTGCTCGTGCAAGGCAGTAGAGTGATATCTCCATCCGCCTACTTTTCTTCTCAACCGCCAACGCCAGCCCCGTCGGAAACTGCCCAATAACACAGGCTGGTAAGGAACAATTGAGAAACACTTCGATGAATCAGTAGGAGTCATTTACCGTTCCCAATGCTACAATTGGTATGTCACATTTTCCAAAAAGTCTATTCATCGTGCAAGTCCACATCCTGTTTCAAATTTACTGGTGTTAGCAAATAGCACAATGACAGGTGTGCCTGTTTTTAAACACAAGCAAAATATAATAGTAACTCATTTTACAACTAGGTCGATCTAGAAATATGTTGCAAACACGATAGCATCATAAAGAAAATAAAAGAGCAAATAATGCCAGAACACATCTTTCGAGCTGTGGCTAAAACCCTCTAATTATATTCAATGTCATATTACCAGCATCGAATCTCTAGCTTGACATAGTCGATGTTCAGAAAAATACAGTCGAGACAAAGAGCAAGGAATTCTTGCTCTTCTCATTCAGTGTTAAAAAGTGCCCAAGGCGCACCAAGGCGATAGGGGTATTATAGCCGAGGCACAAGTCAGGCACCTTATAAAGTGAGGCGCATTTTTTTGAAAATAAAAGATATATACAGATTTTTTCCAGTTGTATAGTCAAACAAAAAGAACAGATCTTGCAATGTAAACACCAAAGAGTATTCATCATCAACATTTTATGTATTAAACATCACTTCAAAATTATTTAAATTCAATAAAATTTTGTGTGATACGAATAATATAATTCTTTAAATGTTCAACTTCAACATGAAACAATCAAGGAGAATGTATAAATGCACGTGAAGCAATTAATCAAGAAAGAAATTTTATTAATTTAAAAAGGACTATAAGCTCAACAAAAAGCTTTTCATTTCATTCAACAAAAAAGATTAAATCAAATTATCAATAAAAAATATCTAAATTATATGAGAATTTAAAATTTTTAGGATGCTACCACACCCATCACCCCCTTTAACTATCCCTTATCAATATGCATAGTTATGTTACAAAGCAATTCTAATAGCTGTAACTCTCAAATCAGTAATAATATATATACAAATCATAAGGTGCTAAGAGAACACAAAACACATACTGCATGAGTGGATGAACCATTGAAAATATTCTCCTTAAGATATGTAACAAAATAGAATTTAAACATTATACAAGAGTCATGAGGAATGCATAATATACTAACACAAGTAAATATCAAATTCACAATACACTGATACAGATAAGATACTTTACAAAAATCAAAGCAGCAGATGGCACCATTTCCAAATGTGAAGTAAAATGGTTCAATAATGTCTTTAGCCCATCTTTAGCATAAGCATGGATTCGGGCAGTTGGATCCTCTAGGGTGAACCTAACCCTTGCTACCTGAAAGATTGGTTCATAGTCTCCCTGCCATCTCCTTATAATCCTAACGATGAATACTACTTAGTGTATAAAGGAGTGCACCAAGCATCAGCGCCAACTTAACAAGGGTTTATTGTACCCCTTTGGGTAAGGGATGTCTTTGACAAGGTGCATGCTTTTGCATCTAGACACGCTTTTGTCAAGGCATATTAACTCAATAACAACTTAAGTGTCCCTTCGGTTGCTTTAGTATTTGGTTCTCTTATTACATGCACCTTAAAAATAAGGAATAATGCGAATGTTCTTTAAAATAACGATCAGTAATATGGTTATGAGCAACTTTGTATTGAATATGTGATATGGTTTAGAGAGAAACAACAATGAATCAATAAATTAGGGCTGAACAAACGAGTAAGAAAGGTGGAACTTTAGAAAACTTAGGGTTAAAACTACTAGTTTCTTTCTACTAATTCAAAAAAATAATAAGAATAATACAGATGTAAATATTTTACAACTTATCTTATACTAAGGTAACGAATAAAGTTAATCCTAGCCCTAGATTGAAACCCTAAAGATAACTTATAATCTTAGCCATCCATAAGGTCTTATAAGTAATAAAATATTTCTGAAGAAAAAAAAATTAAAATAACTAAATCTCATGTGTCATTCCCCCCAACTTGGAAAATTCAACTTCTGCAAGCAAACAACAAATAAGCACAACCCAAAGAACAAAGAAAATGGAAAGGCGGCGCCTTTTTGCGCCTCAGCGCCTTTTGCACACCTTGCTGCTCCTGATCAAAGTCGCCTTGCCCAGGCCAAAATAGGCGCTTCACCGTAGCCTCATTGCCTAGGCGCGCGGCACACCTTTTTAAACACTGTTCACATTTAAGCATCTCAACAATCTACTCACTCGTTCAAGATAGAATGTCCCCTAGTTTTCTATTCAATGGCGAACATCTTTCCAAACCAATGATTATATTGAATGGAAGGATGTTTTATCCATGTTCATGGCAATGAAAACTTATGCAACTTAACGGGGATGTTTTATCCCTCGGCTTTACTTTCAAGTTTTTTTGCAGGAAACTATGAACAGTAATAATTACGATCTGTGTAAAGATCAACAATCTCGATGTCACGACAATCAAACTGAGCACTGGAACAAAAAGAAAAGACATTCAAAGTGTCTTCCCATGATAGAAGCACAGAATGACAGCACTGCTAATGAAGGTATGAAATTATAAGTCATAAAATGGCATGTGATCATGTATGTAGAAGTGATTGCTCATCACTGACTACTGAAATATAGTTCACCAGTATGAGATTCCAATCTTTGTAAGAACAATCAAAGTAACAAAGGAAAAGAACGGAAAGATTGGATGCAGAATTTTGATCAACAATAACTATGTTTTAGTTACTTCAATGGAACCAAAACTCTAAATGGCAGTCACTTACCATGTAAATTTTAAAATGGGAGAAGCATAAAATTAAAGTTAAAAGTAATTAAGAACTGCTGGTCATGGGGAACAAATAGACAATGCATGCCATAATAGAAACCACAGTACACTAACCAAGCAGATGAAGTGTAGGCAGATAAAAATAAGCTTGATCTGGCTGTACCAAGAAGACTCTTTCCTAATATTGTGTAAGGCCTGCATTAAGTAAAAAAGAAAACAATGTCAGACAATAATGATAACTTGAAGCGAGGGAGGATGGGAAGAAAGCAAAATGCTAGAAGAAGTTTTATAATAAAAACATAAAAGAAGAGCCTCTACCGATGGTTTTTCTGATGCTCAAATCATGAAGTCTTTAAAATCTAATTAGATTTGTAATTCTTTGTTAACCAAAATGCTATGAAGCAAAATTTTAACAAGCATACCAAAAACTATAGCAATCATGTCCTTCAACAAACTGAGTCTCATACTCTCATATCAAATTATAACACGAAAGTCAAATAGTGTGGTGACAATGGAGAGCCTGAAGTTAAAGGAATAGTGTAAAAAGTACAACATACAAAATTAACAAACTTTTGTTTTCTTCAAACAATATTAACAAAATCAGAATAAGAAAATGATTTTGTAAGTGAATATCTCACAAAATTTCAGCTAAAGTCTTCAGAAAAGAGAGGGCGAAGATCTAACGCTTTTACCTTTTTAAGAGGCCTTGACGATGAACTAGCAGTGTAGGAATCAAATAAACCGGAAGGTATACTGGTAATGATCTTTTATATGCATCATGAAAGAAGGTAAAAACATGTGAACTGCAAGCTTGATTCCCGTGTATCATCTGTAAATAGCTATGGGATTTAAGCAAGATTCTCAAAAGTAACAATATACTTTTGCCAGAACTTCAAGCATTAGCAACATGAGTGCGAATTCATTCTGTTCTGAACTTTCTAAAGTTATTTTATTAAGTTTAAGCAGAAATCACAAACAAAATGGTTCCCGCAAAAGAATCTAGTTTGTTTTAGCAATCAAGCAAATTGCTTAAGCGAGCAATTTAAGGGTCTTATGACAAAGAACAATTGCATATGAGATCTGCTCTCAAGGCTTATAAAGACTCCAAAGATGATCAAGTGCATTACATGGTTTTCAGAATAGAGAACTCCGGATGATAACTACATGATTTTAAAGCTCTCAAAAATGCATGAACTATATGTTTTTACATTAATTAATAATGAGTCGGCACATAATTCCAACAAGAATAAAATGCAGAGTTACAAGGTTGCGTCCGGCTGAAAACCAAACCAATTAAAGTCAAGGAGCCAAAAAAAATGCAGAGTTGCATATTCATGTTCTGCCACTTATGTTTCCAAATATTTTCACTCTTTCCTATTCCTGTTCTCGTTCTTTCTTTTTGTAATCTCTAATACAGCAGCATGAAGTAGAGCTTTTGTCGCAAAAAGGATCTTTATGAGAGATATAAAAGGAAAAAAGGAAATGAAAAGCTGAATGTTAATTCACATTACTTTTTCTTAACCTAGAACTTCATACTTAGCTTTCTTCAATTCCAGTAGATTATTCTTTTCACCATGCATCTAACTTACTCTTCTTTAGGATTGGAAAGTAAAGCGCCAATCTTTAACGATATTACTCAATATATGGTCTTAAATAATTAAGGCACAACTGTGAATTCTTGTTCATAATGTGGATGCTATGTAGGAGGTAAACGCTTTGCAAGTATGGTTTTTGTTCCAAAGGAATGCAGCTATGAAGAAACTATATACATTAATGCTACTTGGCCAATCAAAAGAAAAGGAGAAAGAAAAAAGGATCATACTGAACAGGGGATTTTCATGTTTGGATTTAATTTAACGTCTGCTCCTTTTGCCTTGTAAAATTTCTCTATTGCTTCCAAATTAGTGTATGGAAGGTCACTTGCATGCTCTTTTACACCTTGCAGGATAACACGATCCTTTCCGCAATGTTTATCGAGAAAGGACCTATATGAAGGGGCGGAACTCTCTGGCTTCAAAAGATAGGAGGACCTGAAAATATAAATGCTTCCACTTAAAAAATACACCCAAAAATAAAAGTACGGTCACCATTTTCTCAGGAAAATACATAGACTAATTTTCCCCAGATTGTGTTTTTGGATGCTATTACTTGTACAATTTGTAAAGCTACACGGATCCAGAAGGGAAAATTTTAGAGATCAGAAACTTAATCCTGAAGACTGGAATCCCAGGAGGCTTTAGTCATCTAGTCTATGTGGTAAACTCCATGACTGATAATGAATATGATTCATCAAGAAGAATAGCACTAAAGTTTAATTAATAGCAAAAATATACACCAACAACCAAGAGAACTTAAAAGAAAGTAACATACAAAATTTGCGAAGAAGACAGACACATAAGGAATATGTCGCCATGCTCCCAGGTGAGGGGTTTGCAGAGCTTTCCAAATTGTTTACTCTTTATCCCGCATCGTGACGCCAATACGGCAGCTCGCATGAGTATGTATATAGCCAAACTTGTATGCTGTGTGTTAAGCCCGGTAAGAAGCATGGAAGGACCTGCAATAAGTCCCGCTATAATTGCCCTCCACTTTGCAGTCCTGAATCGAAGTTCATCACTCCAAACAAGTCAAATCCAAGCTAATAATAACTTCCATTAATTCGATAAAAGATTGGAAAACTTTAAAGGTTAAGATCATTGCCTTTTATGGCCTCCGAGAGCAACAATAATTTCATCTACAGAAACGAATGTACCAGAAAATGTTCCGAGAAAAAGACCGTATCTAAGTGTCTCCTTGATCCCCACCATTATCGCTTCACTATCAGACAACGAGTCAACTTTTCTAAAAAAAAGGAAGTATTGCTTTAGAATTAGTAGTATTTTTCAATCAAATCAAAAGAGATTGATTATCAAATCTATTTGCACGATAATTACCTTGATTTTCTGCGCCGCAATCGTGCTAGAATCGAGAAGAGAGCTAAGCCACCCCTAATGCCAGCTCCGATAGAGAAGCCTTTAGCTGAGACCACGACCAATCTCCTCAACTTGTCCGAGTCGGTCAACGGAATCGCACCAGAACCAAGCGTAGAGGAAGAATACGATGACGGTTTCGATCCGTTGCAATGCGTGCAAGTCTCATCAACCAATCTCGGGGTGGCGCCGTCTTCGAAACCACCATTCTCGCCGGAGTGACTGGAGAGTCCGCAGGCACAGTTGATGGCACCGTCGGCAGACGGCGACATGGTGGTCAGTTGAGATTTGGAGCGGAGTTGACGAAGCTTACAGTAGAAGCTAAGGAACAATAATCATTACTTCAACCATTTAACATTGATAGCTATAATTAATTATATAAAAAATATTTTTCAATATTTGATAATTATAATTGATTTTTTCAATATAATTCATTTTTTAATTCATTTATATTTTGTAAAATATTTTTTTATATGATTTTTAGCAAATTATTTTATTAACTTTTCATTTTAAAGTATAATAAAAACTCTTAAAATAATATTATTTTATTTATTTAATATTAATATAATATTTTAATATCATTTTAATGAAATTTTTTAATAAATACGAACCAAACAACTTCGATAGAAAATGAATTGTTGTTAATCCTTGAGGTCTCGTGTTTGATCACCATAAATACCAAGGGTGTAAGGCTATGAGCGATCAATGTCAACTAATTAAGAGTTTATATTTTAACATATATTGCATCGTACTTATCCTTGATTAATCTAATTGTAGATGCTCGTTTTGTCCGAGCTTATAGCAGATTAGACAATTCGAATCAAGCCCAACATGATATTTAATCCAACACATGCTCAGTTGGATTAGGCCACTAAGACAGGCAGTTTTGAGCAGGAAAAGAGAGGGAACGGTTTGTAGAGAGTGGGGGGTATTTTGAGTTATCAAAAAACTGTAAATGGAGGGGGAGGTCAGTTTTTTTTAACTACTGGAAACCATCAGAAAGGGGATACTTCACGGGGACAGAACCAAAAAAAGAAAAGGAGGAGAGAACAAATAGAACAGGGAGGAAAGGATTGTAATTTTTTTTTCGCAACTATTGGAGAGCAATAGAATATGGTATCCCAGTTTTTATTTGATTCACCATTTCTGATGAACAACACATCATTATCGTAAAAAATAAAAATAAAACACCAACAAGAGCAATCAACAGAAAAAGAGACAACAACCAATCGAAAACAGTGAAATCAAAGGATCTTCTTCCCCTTCATTTTTTCATACAGAGCTACAACAGATTTCTTTTTCGTTTTCCCTTAAGCAAGGTAAGTATTAAAACTCGTTTTTGTATATGAGGTATTTCTTTATATATAAAAAATCAGTGGAAATTTCTTGAGATATTCGATTTATTTTAAGTTCTAGTGCATGGTTATGTGAGTGTTTTGAAATATAAGTAAAATAAGGGAGGAAGTAGGGTCGATTTGGGTTAGCTTTTACCTCTATAGTTGTCGTGAGTGTTGGATTAGGAGGGCTCGGGCTTCATCGAGGGTTGCGAAAGCGTGGTGGTCTGCCGAGCATCGACGAGCTGTGGGATCTTGGTGTACATCCACCGTTCGTGAAGGGAGATAATCATAGAAGAGAGCAAGATGGCCATGGCAGCCGTTCGGTCGAATGGAAGAGAAGTAGAGAGGAAAGGAAGAGGAAAAACGGCTGAGGGTTAGGTTTAATATGAGTTTAGGATTAGGTTTAGTTTAAAGTAGGTTTTATGTTAGGTTATTAGGGCTAATTACTTTAAGGTCACTGCGTATGCCGTTGATTTCCATTTTAGTCCTGAAGCCGAGTATTGTTTGCTTCGTAATTTGGTCTTTAACTTTTATGCACATTTGATTTTAGTCCTAAATGCTAGGGTATTTATTTTCTCTTGTTTGCATATCCGGTCTTCTAGTTTTGCATGTTCTATTTTAGTCCATTTTGTGTGTTTAATTGAATTTTGCAATGATTGTGATTCTGGCTCATTACTTTAAAAAGTTTCTATTTTGACCCCATTATTTATTCAAGTTAATATCTTGTATTTTTACGTTTGGTATGTAATTATGTTAATATTTTTATTTTAGTCCATAGATTTAATTTAGTCATAATTTAGACTTTTTTAAATTAATTCTTTAAATTTAAATTTATTTTAACATAGTCCATTCTTAGATTTGTTTTTAAGTTAGTTGTTTATTCCTACTTTGCATGCTTAGTTTAATTTTATTTTATTATGGTCCTTCATGGTAATTTTGAATGTGAAATCGAGTTATTAATAGCATGTTTTATTGTATATATTGTTTTATTCTAATGTATGTTAGTGTCGTAAATACATATGAATTTTATTGTTTTTTTTATCTATAAGAGTTAGAAGTTTGTTTGAGTGCATGGCATATTTTAATTAATTTTGTTTTTGCATGACATTATTTTGCATAATATGCATGATAGCTTCATTTGCATAACTCGACCATATTCATAATTGGATTAAGGGTAATATATTTTTAATTTAAAATTATTGAAGTGGGCAGTCATAACTGATTTGAGGTCCGCTTTTAATGATTTTAAAATAAAAGTGTATCCCGAAAGTGAAACAAAAAATTGATTTGTCACCTAAAATTCGGGAACGAGAGAAAAAGAAATGTTCGTTTATTTAAATATATCGAGAAAAGGTTGTTATATCTTTAAGATCTGGTCTCGATATTTGTAAATAATCGAACATTCTTTATCTTTCTAAAATGACTTGGTAATTTTAATTTAATTCGTTTGAGTGTTCTTGAATGTTTTTAATTTTACATTTTTGTTTTATGGGATCAAAATTCAAATTAACTTCGAATTTGTAAAGTTCATTGCAAAAACGTTAATTAATCGATTAGGTACCGATTTAGGGCGTTGTGGGGGTGCTAATCCTTCCCCACACGTAACCGACTCCCGAACTCGGATTTTGGTAACGCAGACCTCAATTTGTTGTTTTAATAAAAATTAATTTTTATTTAAAATAACAAACATTTTTGGGTGCCCAATCACACCCTAATCAAAGATTGGTGGCGACTCTTTGAACTATATTTTTTCGATCATAAAGGAAATCTGAATTTTTTCGAAACGAGAGGTTTTCAAATCACATTTGTTTTTAAATTAAAACTCAATTGAAAGAGGTAAATTAAAAATTAATGTGGTTTTTAAAATCTCACCTTTTCACCTTTAAGAAAAAATCGTTTCGACAGCTTGGCGACTCTGCTGGGGACTTTTTTTTAGAGAGTCAAGCCGATAGTCGATTAATTAATTGTCTTTGCAATTGAAAATTACAAATTCGTTTTAATTTGATTTTTGATCCCTTGTTTGGTTTTTAATAAGTTTTGTTTGTATTTTGATTTCTTTAATTTAATTTGATTGACAATTAAATAGTTGTACTGATCTGTTTGCTAATGATTTCAGAATAATTGTGTGTTTTGGGAATTGATTTTGAGTGTTTTTATTGTTTGTTTTTTCGCTTTTCCTCACACACTGCACAGCTGCATTATCATAACATGAGCTAAAACCCCGCTCCGTCCTATTTAAGTAGGAGTGAGAGACTATGCCCTCGTGTGGTTTTCACCTCCGCATGGGATAGTGGATCGCTCCTGGAGCTCACGCCTTATGGTCCTCGTGATGGTAATCACCTCCGCATGGACATAAGGAGGTGTGTTCCCTCGAAAATGAACTCGATTCCCTAAAGCCTGTGATGGGCCAGGATTGAGGGTTCGGCAGCCCAATGGGGCACCGGCATGGACAATTCGAGAACCTATTACTTTAGAACCTAACCCGACATATAATGAACATAGAGCCTGAACTTAGGTTGGACCAAACCCGAACCTTAAGAATCCCGTGAGGAGGGTACACAAGGAAAAGCTTTTTTGAGTCATTTATTTTCGTTTTTTTCGAATAAATGCATGCGAACTAGATATCATGCGGTTAGGTGTATTTTTTGAACAAGCATGCGAATTAGATATCATGCGGTTAGGATTTATTTTTGTGGATAACAAAACCTGGGGGTAGATATCATGTTGGGTAGGATCTGATAAAGCATGATGGGGTAGTCAGCATATGTGGGTAGGATTTTTTATCTTGAATTAATTGCTTCATGTTTACTAACCTATTTTTTGTTGTTTTTGCCTTGTTTCTTTTCTGTTTTGCATTGCATTGTCCATTACATGGTGTTGATTTGGGGTCGATGTCCATATAGAAGGCCAGTAATATGGAACGAACGGTTCAGAAAGAGGTTGAGGACAATGCAGATGTTCTGAGGTGGTCGGAACAGTCCCAATTGACCAATGGAGACAGCGTGATGCCTGGATATGTGTCAGAGTTATTTGGTTACACTCACATCAACGTGTGTCAGAATGATCTAAGTGAGCTAAAGGAGATATGGGGAAGATGGACAGTAGCCGATAAGGAGATGTTTTATCAGTTGTACGGCGATATTCCTTATCTTCTGGATGTTTCTATTGACCGAAATCTGTTTAGAGCATTGGCACAGTTCTGGAACCCGGCTTATAGCTGTTTCACATTTGGTAGAGTAGATCTGACACCAACAATAGAGGAGTATCAAGCATTGGTCCGTTGTCCGAGGTCCCAGATAGATAGAATATATACCAAGCTGCCAGTCACTCATTCGTTTAAGAAGAAATTACTATTGATGACCGGAATGAGTGAAGATTGGGTAATCAGAAACATTAAGAAGAAGGGAGACAGTGAGTGCATCTCTTGGGCTGCTCTGAAAGAAGTAATTCCTCATCATCCTGATAAGAGAAAGAAGCTTGACTTGTTTGCTTTAGGGATTTATGGGCTTGTTATTTTTCCAAAAGTGTTAGGATATGTAGACGTATCAGTTGTTGACCTGTTTGAAAGATTAGACAAGCGCGTGGATCCTGTTCCAGCTATTCTAGCTGAGACGTTCTAGTCTTTGAGTTCTTGTAGGCGCGAGGGAGAAGGACGCTTTATAGGATGTGCGCCTTTACTGCTAGTGTGGATTCTGAGTCATTTCAAACATGTTGAAAGAGCACCAGGACGAGTATTTCTAGACGATTTCTCACCTTTGAAGGATTTTCTTTCTAAAGAGTGGCCTGGGGGTTTTACCGAAGAAAAATGGATGGTCATCTTCAAGGATATCAGGGATGGAGATATTTTGTGGCGAGCTTCGTGGAATACCTCTTCAGATATACTTTACCGATGTGGAGAGCGAGATTGGGTTCCTTTGCCAGGTATATGGGGTTCTGTTGGGTATGCTCCGCTACTAGTTTCCAGACAGTATGGATTGAGGCAGTTCATTCCAGC